GGTCACTTACGTTCATGCTCTGGTCGCTTGACCAACTCTCCAACCATGGTCTGGATGACGCCAATGTTGCCATTGAGTGCGCCGCCGATGATTCGCCCAAGGAGCGCGACCCAAAAGTTTGGAGCTAAGCCAACAAGTAGCAACGAGGACATTGTCCCAAGACATCCAAGTATGACAACGGGTTTTCTACCTATACGGTCGGAGACTGAGCCCCAATACATGCCTGAACATGCCTCGGCGAGCGAGAAGGCAGAGATGAGCAGACCGGCAAAGAACGGTGCGCTCGTTTCGGACCCAACTTGGAAGTTGGTGACGAGTTTCCAGGCGTATGGGAGTATCGAAGTAAGGGCAATTGGCTCTGCGACTCGAACCAGCGCTGGAGTGTGTTGTCAGTGCGAGGCTCGGGCGAACAACAACTAGTGTCGGTGGCATGGGAAAACCATACCTAGGAGGCCGAGCTGAGCGGCGGGAAATTTGTCTTGGGTGGCTTCGGGGGCATCTTGAGGGCTTGTTCTTCGGTTCTTGGTAAGAAATGACATTCTGCAACCTGATTTGGTTCTTACGGCTTCGCCAACACGCAGTCGTCGTCTAGCTCGGGGGTGGCTTGCTATGTGAGTAGAGCTTTCTCTGCGTTTGGCCTTGAATCACCCAGTAACAAACAAAATGAGACGCACGAAGGCCGTGAACAAAGGTTGTGCGATGGCGGTGTGTGGTACAGAAAGCAGAGAGTAGAAGAGGGAAAGTTCTGGCACCTGGGTCGGTGCAACCTGCCGTCCAACCAGCGGGTGCACTAGAAACGGGACGATCGGCAGTCCTTGGCGAGCATATTTCTCTGCTTTTTCATCTACACTCATCGGCCTGCTCAACACAAGACCTTCTCCCTCGCGATTGTCCATCTCGATGTCTACTTAACTTTCACATACCCGCTGATTTTCCCGCAAAGATGCCGCTGGAGCGACATTGGGGAACCTTGTTGTTCTATTCCCCGGTGAGCCCCACAAGGCGCGGTGGCAATAGTCAAACGCTAAACTTGGAAGCGACTTAGTGTGAATGGCCGTTTCCGCGGCTCAGTTTGTTCGGGTGCCATCAACTGATCATCCGTCGAACGTCATCTTTGCTATGACAATCGCTTTCCCAGTTTTGCATCGTCTCCCGAAGTCTTGTCTCCAGGCATTCCACGAACCGGGTACCACGCACAACGTGGAATGTCCAGACACCAAAACCACCCTCAGGCCCCGGACGGCCAAGGACGAGCTAATTCTTGCCCTGCATTCGAGCCAATCAAGACCCAGCCGTACCTTTTTGCAACACCACCAGCTTAGATGTAGTGCTACCGCCTCGATACGCTATCTTCTCGCGATGAGAAGTTTGCATACAGTCTCCCAAACATTTCGCAGCCCTCGGAGCTGTACCATCATGCGTTCGGGTGTCAACGCAAATGTGTGCGCTTGCGAGTGATCGCAGCTACCAGCCACTCAGTTCAACGGACGAGAAGCTCTCATTGCAATTCGTAAGTGTCGTGTTAACATTGATGAGTCAGAAGGGAGGCTAGTCCATCGAATCCGCTACGATAACTACACGTTCTGAAAGTATTGAATTCCGTGCAACAGAAAGCATTACGACTGCGCGCTTTGTCGCGTGCCTCGTGCCGCCTCACATGCAGCCTTGGTGGGAGCACCAGCCTAGTGTCTAGCGCCCGCTTTGGTCCCCACCTCCCTCCCGCTGACCACGGCATCACCTTGTCGACTGCATCTCTCACACTACTCAGACGAACTCTTTGATGACAGACATCTAGCATGCTCAGCTAATACGTCACACCTAGCACCGCTTTTCGGGTGGCTCCAGGACGTTGCCAAGCGGCCAATCCCGGCACGAAGAATTTCTCGAAGACTTTTACGTGATATGTGGAGCTCGCGACGACACGGTCACGTCTCAGCGCAAACTATTACTCACGATGACCCACACTTCTCACAAAAGTTCAGGACCCTTTCTGCACTGGCACTACGCAGCGAGGATGTTTTCTGATGCCTATGCCGCATGTAGCCTCCTCGTGCTCATTCCCCCACAAACTACACTCCGCTATGGCAGGCTTGACAGCGGATCCATTTGAGGTGCGTCATGCTACCCAGAATTCAAGTCAATATGTGCATTAGTCGCCGGGAGGCGATCACCCAGGATCTGCTCGGCCACTAGCACACGTTACGTCTTAGGATGATGACCCAGAGGTCCGATACAGGAGGCGAGGAGATTCAAAAGACCCAGCGTCGCCGCTCTTCGCTACCGAGCTATATTTCGTTCATTGCATTTTGAGACCCTGTAACACGTTGTTACGGTCAAACCTCAACCATGGGTCTAAAAGCCTTTCTCAAGAAAGAGCCCCAGGCGCCTTCCAACGGCGATGTTGCTTCTCACACGACCGCATCGGATAAAGACGATATGGAGGCATACGGACACAACACCGATATAACGACCGGATGGACAGGCGACGGGTTTGCCGGAGCGACCGAGTATCCCAATGCTCCGGGAGAGAACTACCGTACGCTGGGCCGATGGCGAGCGTGTGTGATCCTGATCACCATCGAAGTCGGAATCGGAATCCTCAGCTTGCCCTCCGCTTTAAAGACGCTCGGTCTGATCCCCGGAATTATCGCGATCCTCGGATTCGGTGGTCTGACGACCTATTGCGGTTACATCCTTCTTCAGTTCTACAGAAGATATCCCATGGTCACGAATCTGGTAGACTGCGCGTTGTACGTCGGAGGCAAGCCATTCGAGTGCTTCCTTGGAATCGCTTTCGTTTTCAACCTCGTCCTTATCTGCGCTTCGGCAAACATCACTTTGTCGGTCGCACTCAACACGCTTTCGCGTCACGCCCTCTGCACGGTGGCTTTCTTGGCTTTCCCTCATATTCTCTGCTGGCTGCTCTGCATTCCACGAAAGCTCTCTTTTGCAGCCGCAGCTAGCTGGGTCTGTACGATTTCTATCGTAGCTGCAGTTCTGATCGTCATGATCGCGCTTGGTGTCGGTGGACCACAAGCTCCGCCAGGTTTCGAGGCCAAGATCGTTCTGGTCGGAAAGCCTAGCTTTGTCGAGGCTGTCAATGCTCTGCTCAATGTCGCCTTTGCTTTCGCGGGAAACCAAAGCTTCATCAGCGTTATGGCCGAGATGCGAGACCCATCCAAGGACTTCGCGCCTGCTCTTTTTATGCAGAAGTCCTTCGAGGTCGTAATCTACATCGTGGTCGCCTGTGTCATCTACGGCCTGGCAGGCGATGCAGTTACATCTCCCGCGCTTGGTTCTGCGCCAGAGTTGACAGCTAAGATTGCCTACGGCATTCTTATCCCTTCTGTGCTGGGAACTGGCCTGATCATCGGTATTACTGCCATCAAGTTTATGGTACGATCTCTTCTCCCATGAGAAAGAAGACAAAGCTGACCTCAATATAGTACATCACTATCATGCGTAACATGAAGCCCGAGGCTGTCAACGTACACAACGCCCTTACATGGACCCTTTGGATTGGCCTCGGTGCCCTCTTCTGGATTGTCTCCTTCGTCATCTCCAACGCGATACCCATCTTCTCATCTATCCTCAACATTTCGTCTGCCATCTTCATCTCGTGGTTCACCTTTGGTCTCACGAGCATTTTCTGGCTACATCTGAACTGGAAGACACAATGGAGTTCACCACGGAAGAAGGCGGTAGCCGCTGTCAACTACGGCATCATGATGGTGACGTTGTTCCTAATGATAGGAGGACTGTACACATCATTGAAGGCTCTCATTGACATCTACAATGATCCCAACAGCACTTTGAACGGACCGTTCACTTGCGCGGATAATAGTATATTCTAGATGATACCACGTAATTAAACTGATGATCTGTCAGTACACACAAAAGTACTCACTACACACGATCCACGGCGAGTTCTTTCGAGACTGATTTGATGTGTGATGGAATAGACTCGAAACAACTCTACATTATGGGCTATGCTTCGAAGGGACCAGCGGCCGCTTGTAGTTCGGAGGTACATGGGGTCGGCACTCCAAGCTCCCTGGGAGAAGTAGGCTGGCGGAGCCCTCACCCATTCTCATGCGGTCGCTACCCGGGACCATTGATGGCAAGCTCAATCAAAACGCCGCATATGTATCTGCCTGTGTCAAGTCGCACGGATGGTAGACCGAATGGAGTTGTCGCGGCGACAAAATTCTCACCCACCGAATGAGGAGAAAGGACTAGGACACTTTTGGTGAGGCGGTTCTGGATGGATCGCGATATGTACCACAATTACCAATACTACCGAGTAAGGACCTTGGCGATAGCATAGAAAGCTGAGTCGCTAGAAGAGCCTCATGAAGCGGACTCCTGTTCCGGTGGTAGAATGCCGTAGTGCCTCCGATGGAATTGCCGAGTGCTTTTGTAGACCTTCTGTCTTGTGTATTCATCGCAGCATATACTGCGCATTTAGTATGTGCGTCTTCACTCAATGCCATGAGAGTATCTCAAAGATCCCGTGTATCGTGTGCCGTGATCAAAGTAGAAAGGAGAGGATTTCTGGGGACCAAAACACCGGGGAAAGTCTGAGCCCCAGACTCAGAAATGCCGTTGGCGTGTGCCTTTCCTGCACCCCACAGCATCGCCCAGATTGCTACGCTAGGAGACATCTAGAGGTCTGCGGGTAAACACCGGGCTGGAGCAGTCCAATAGCAAGTCCGGTCGCGCACGCTTCTCCACCTCCCGAGAAAACCAACGAGCGTCACGATGTCATGATCCCCGCAAAACTCCATCCTCGGTTCGGACCATTTTCATTTTTGGCGTGCAAAACCGTCATACCCCGGATTCAAGGACGGAGCGGCAGATGTCTAGTCGCGCTGTTCGACACGACCTTTATCCCCCGAGACGAGGCTACCGAGCGACAGCGAGCTAAGGCTTGTCACTATAAAGCATGGCTGAGGTTACCGATTGCTTGGGCTTGATCCCATCTGTCATCGCTTGTCAAGATGTTGCGCAACTCTCTAGCGGCCGCGCTGTTCCTCGGCCTAGCAGCTTCGGAAGCTGCTACGCCCACCGCTCAGACGAAGAACGGAACGTATGTCGGCACACACTCTGCCGAATATGATCAGGACTTCTTCTTGGGTATTCCGTATGCTCAACCGCCCGTTGGGAGTCTTCGCTTTAGAAACCCTGTCAGCCTCAATGCTACTTGGGATGAGGCAAAGCCGGCGACGCAATACTCTACTGAGGTACATAACCTTGCCTGACGTATGAGACATGGCTAACAGACCTTGCAGTGCTACGGATATGGGTCTGATCAATGGAACTACCCGGTAAGTTTCGAGAAAACCAGATAGCCAGTTCGCATGCACTGACCTGGTTTCCTTATGTTAGATATCGGAAGACTGCCTCTACCTGAACGTTATCCGCCCGGCAGGATGCAGTGCAGAGGACAAGCTTCCAGTCGCATTCTGGATCCATGGAGGCGGTTTCTTCCAAGGAGGAGGTATCGATCAGCGCTACAACATGTCCTTCACCGTAGAGAACGCCCAAAAGATTGGAAAGCCCATCATTGGGGTTACCATCAACTACCGACTATCTGCCTGGGGTTTCCTGAGTGGAAGTGAAGAAGTCAGGGACACTGGCAACCTCAATCTCGGCCTGAGGGATCAACGCCTGGCACTGCAATGGGTACAGGAGAACATTGAAGCTTTTGGAGGTAAGTTTTTCTATTGAAACACTTGGAGCCCACGAATTGACAGGAGACAGGTGACCCAGAGAAAGTTACAATATACGGCGAGAGCGCTGGTGGAGCGTCCGTTGGCTTCCACTTGACAGCCTACAGTGGACGTGATGACAAGCTCTTCCGTGGTGCTATCCTGCAGAGTGGTAACCCTGTTAACTTCGGCCGTCTTCCCGACCCAGCAGTAGGATACGCCGACATGTACAACGAGCTCACTCGCCGAACAAACTGTGCAAACACCACCAGCCCACTCGAATGTCTCCGCCAGCTGCCCGCAGAGCAGCTCAACACTGCACTCAACACGACAACCCCGACTTTCAACATCACGAACTTCATGCCTTGTCTGGATGGTGACTTCATCCAGAAGCGCACTTCGCTCCAGCTCAACACAGGCGAATTCGTTCATGTCCCAATCATTTCGGGTGCCAACTCGGATGAGGGCTCGGCCTTCAGCCCTGCGCCTGTGAACTCCACCGAGGGTCTTCGTACCTTCATCATGGCAGACGGAGTTCCTGCCAACTTGACAGAGCAACTGCTTGCAGCGTACCCTAACGATCCTTCGGTCAACGTGATTCAAAGCTTGGGTAACCTCACGCTGGGCCCTGAATGGGGACCGGAGTATCGCCGCTCAGCGTCCTACTTTGGTGATCAGGTCTTCATCGCCAACCGCAGGTTGACCTGCGAGACATGGGCTGCTGCCAACGTTTCTGCATACTGCTACCGTTTCAACGCCATCCCGGCTGGCCTTCCCGCCGCAGTCGGTGTCACGCATTTCCAGGAGGTTTCCTTCGTGTTCCTCAACCTACAGGGTGTCGGCTACCTGCCTGCTGCCGCTCCTCCGTTCGAGAACAAGACGGAGAGCTACAGCGATCTTTCCAGGTTCATGAACAGCAACTGGGTCAGCTTCATCCACGACCTTGACCCCAACGCATGGAGGGAGACGTACGACTACAACGGAACAGAAGCCATTTGGGCTCCGTACGACAACGCCAACCCAATGGACATGGTCTTCGACGCCAATGTCACGAGTTACTTGGAGCCGGACACATACAGGAAAGAGGGTATGGCACTGATCAATGCCCATAACTATGATGTATATGGTCGATGAGCAGCCACAGGCTGTAGTATATAGCGACTACCGTACATAACTGCACATAATCACACCGAATCAAGAAACCGTCTAATTATTTCTCGCTCCTTCTGAATCTGTCTGTCGTATGCTCACATAGAATAGCGAGGCATCTTGACGTGAAAGCCATTTGGTCGCCTACACCGACGCACACGCGTTACTGTGATCTTATACGAAGGAAGCGTTGGATGTCTCGCCTGACGCCCTATAAGGAGTTAGTACCATGTCAAGCCCTCAGCCTTGGCTATAGAGCTGAAAGTTGATCAACGTAAGCTGACCTGAGACGAACGAAAGCTGCTTCGCCTGCGCCACGGCCCGTTAGGCCTCCCGACTCCTAAGGCAGGCAACGTGCGAATCCCGCTCAGCCATCATATTCCCAGGCAGAGACGAAGCTCCAAGCCATAATCATCCGAAAAGTGGAGCAGGGATTCCTGCGACTTACGCCCCGCGTCGCAAGATGGCCCATAATGGGCATACGCGACTCGACATGCGACTCCTGATTTAGAATTGCAAGCAGTCCGTACAGGAACAGGCGATGATGGATGAGTATCACAATGGCAGTGCAAGCCACCAACTCGATTATCTGTGCATCTCGAGTAGTACATATATGAGTAGATGGATGTGTCATTCAAGGCATGCTCATCTGAAACTCTTTCTTGAACGTTACAACCATTCGATAAGACAAATCTAACTTTACATCGGCTCCTACCTACCAAAACAATAACAATGGGCGACACCGAACTCTGCATTGATGTCTCGCCTGAGTGCCCCGTTGAAGCCACCATTTACGGGTACACACCAAATCTCGCCGCCAACACGTTTTTCGCGGGTTTCTTCGGTCTTGCTCTCGTCGCTCAGCTTTACTTTGGTATCCGCCACAAGACATGGACGTATATGATTGGCGTGGGACTGGGATGTTTGGCAGAATGCCTTGGGTACATTGGCAGGATTATGCTCAATAGAAATCCTTGGGACAATACTGGATTCATAATCCAGATTGTCATGCGTAAGTAACTATGCCCTTTGACTTGGAAAGAAATTGTCGCTAACAGTTGGGGTAGTCATCTTTGCGCCGGCCTTCTTGGCTGCTGGTATCTATTTGACACTCAAGCATGTGGTCATCCAGTTTGGCGAGGAGTGGAGCAGAGTCAGACCGAACTGGTACACGTATATCTTCATCGCTTGCGACATCTCTTCGTTGGTCATGCAGAGTGCGGGTGGAGCGCTGGCGGCCACGGCAGACCCGGGAGAGAGCATTGGAGACGTCGGGACGGATCTCATGATTGCGGGTATTATCTGGCAGGTTGTTGGTAAGTTTGACCTCGCATGCTTTACCATAAGAATCAGCTGACAACCGAATAGTACTGGTGATATTCGGCCTCCTCGTACTGGAGTACAGTGTCCGCACCTACCACCGTCGCGATCAGCTCTCTGCTTCGGCGCTCAGGCTCTGGTCAAACCGACGCTTCCGATTCTTCTGCGGCGCTGTTGTAGTCGCATACACCGCTATATTCGTTCGATGCGTGTATCGCATTCCTGAACTGCTCGGAGGCTGGGGAGGTGAACTCATGCGTAACGAGATTGAGTTCATCATACTAGAGGGCGTGATGATTGCGATTACGGTGGCGGCGCAAACAGTATTCCACCCGGGACTGTGCTTCCCTGCGCTGGGCAATACCATGGGCAAGCAGAAGTATGTCAAGGCCGGTAAATCGGAGTCGGAAATTGAGATGATGACGCCGGGCGAGACGGCATCTAGGAGGGATATATCGTACGAGGCTTCTAGGGCATAGTGTGAGACTGGAAGAGGGGAGACAATGAACGTTGTATAGTCGAACGTCAAGATAGAGTCATGTTAGGATCCGGCGCAAACCATACAGGCAAAAATCACATTTCGAGAGGAATAGATGAATGCTTTAGATGGTGTAGAAGCAACAGCGACCAGTGATGCAATGCGCTTTCTTACTCGCGCTAGCGTCAAGCTAGGCCAGAACCGCGGCCTCTCACGAATTGATTGTCAACTTGCAGCATGCCATCTACTTGCTCCACAAACATAATCGCGTCATTCTTAGCTACGTAGCTACAGTCGCGGGACTGGCTAGAGCAGGATGAACCCGCCCAACCCACCGAACGACGAATCTAGCGCTGGCAATGGCGCGCCAACTGCGATCGGCGGCGCAGCCACTATGTCCGCACCTCCGCATCCACATGCAGAACCGCAGTCGGCAGCACCCACTGCATGGTCGTCGCAAATGTCTACCTTTCCTACGAACAGCGGCGCTGCTGGAAGCCCCAACTTCGGCCAGTACTCGGCATCTACGGCAGCGATTCTCGAACGCATCCAAGGGAAGAACGGCCATGCCGCCGGCAGTGCTGCCTTTGAGGCGAAGCGGGCAGAGATCTTGCAGAGTTACGTGACTAGCGACAAACTGCCGACGCCCCCGCCAGCGGCGAGTACGGGACGTAGGGGGAGAGGGGGACGAGTTAGCACACCAAGTGGACTGAAGACGGAAGTCGGCGCATCGCCGTCGGGCCCTTCTTCTGGTCGCGGATCTGGTAGAGGGCGAGGAAGGGGTCGTGGTCGCGGTCGCGGAGGACGTGGAGGCAGAGGCGGCAAGCGGAAGCGATCTGAGAGCGACGAGGAGAGCAATGTCAGTCGCTGTGGAGTGCTCTGCGACTGTGTGCTGACATGATGTAGAACGACAACGACGACTCAGACGTCTCAGACTCGTACACCCCACTACCCACACAAACCAAGTCCGGCCGAAGCGTCAACAAGCCCGTCACATTTGTACCCGTCATCCCAGAGCCAGCCAAGGGGGTCAAGCGGAGGAAGTCCACCAAGACACTACTTGCTGCGAAGTGCAAGACCTGTCACCGAGAGACCGACCCGTCGAACAACCGGATAGTATTTTGTGATGCGTGTAGTACCGCGTATCACCAGTACTGCCATAACCCGCCCATCGACAACGAGGTCGTCACAGTGCTGGAGAAGGAGTGGCTGTGTGGACCATGTATACGGGCCAAGCAGTCTGTCGTAGACGGCGCACAGGATCTGGTCGCTGCGGAGGACCTGACTATAGATGAGGTAGGTCCACGCGGCCGCTCAAATCGGGCATCTTTGCCAGGACTTGGTATACTAACTTTAGCAGAAACGCGCATACTTCAATACCCTCCCACAAAACCAGCTAGTTGGCCTCCTCCTGACTGCTACGATCCGACATCCAGAACTACCCATATTCCCTCCGAACGTAAAGAGCCTTATACCCGAGACCTCAGCCATCAAGTCAGAAACGCCGCAACAACAGCCCTTATCCACCCAACACTACACCAGCTACCAACCCCCACCATCTTTTAATCTTGGTCAGATATCCTCGACTCCAAACGGCCACACAACTTCAAGCCACACACCGCAGTTCTCATCACATTCTCATTCCGAGATGGACGCTGCAGAAGCACAACTCCTCGGCGAGAGCAGCCACCAGCCGCGCACAACGATAGATCTCGCAGGCAACCAGTACGAAGAAGACGACGGCTACGACACCGACCCACCCGCACACTACCCCAAAGCTGGCAACGGTCTCGCACGAACACTACGGCCAGAGAGCGAAGATCTTAATTGGCTTGTCGACGACAACTTTGAGGTGTTCAGCCATAGTTACCAGGGGGACGGGACAGGGCTGGGCGCTGATGGCACACTGGATGGCATGGGAGATGGACAGAAAGTAGTTTAGGATGCTGCTGGAGAAGCCTCTGCTAAGGTTACCGGTGATGACGAACTGTCAGATATGGATAGCGAGGATGTGGAGCGCTTGGTTGCTTTCACTAAGGGCAACGAGCAACCTTCACTAAGGGACCTCTTGACGCAGCGAAAGTGAAGCTCGAGAAGCATGCATACAGTAATACAAGTTAGCGTTATGGTCAGTCACCCTGCAATTGAATAGTTCAGGTAAAGGAAAGGACCTTGTATTATCCAGGAAAATTAAACAGAAAGCGTGGTATCTCGAGAAGTATAGCTAAGCAAGAACCGGGCCTAAAACGGCCACATTAATCCAAAACGCCAACCCGTGCATAACCTCGTTACGAAGCCATTAACGTCGTCACTCATTCATCGTCGATGCCATATCCCCCCAACGTGCTTTCAGGATCTTGCCACTTCTTGCTCTTCAGAATCCTCATCTTCTTGATCGGACTCGCAGAGCGCTGCATCGTCTCGCGCTCACTGGCCTCTAATCTGGCCCGCAGCATCTCGTTTTCTCGCTCCAGTTCGTCGACCCGGTCGCGGAGTTCTGGGTCTGGGTCTTCGTACACCTTGATCTCTTGCTTCATCTGTGCCTTGGTCGCGCGGATGACGACGTCGATCTTGGAGTCGATGTGTGCTTGCTGGTTGTCTTGTTCGTTGTCTAGTGCCGTCTGCCATCTTCGGCGTTCTTGCTCGACAGCAGCTTCCATTTCGAGATAGCATTCGTCGCGGATCTCTTGCTCGAGGTCTACCATGTGGTCTTCGGCTGCGGCCCAGGAAAATTCAGCTGCTTTCCTGCGAGCTGTCTCCTCGGTGAGGCGCAGAGCGAAGATTTCGATTTCCGAGGTAAGGCGTGCGATTTCGGCGTTGGCATATTCAAGCTCTTCCATTACAGCCGAGGGTGTTGTGCGACCTGAAGGGGTCGCGCGTCCTGAGGAGGCTGTACCAGGGCGCTTGAGTGGTACACCGATTGTGTCGGAGGTGGATGGCATTCGTGGCACGGTGACCTCGCGAGCGAGGGCGGAGTAGCGGAGAATCTGCGACGTGGCGTTGTAGTCGCCTTTGGGATCTGCCGTTACGACCATAATGGACTTTTGAGGCTGACGGTGCGATTGTGCTTGACGGGCGGAGGCAGGGAACGAATTCGAGAAGAGGAGCTCCGTGAGTTTGCACTGGCGGAAGGGCACAATGTTCTGAGAGCATGTTAGTTGAAGAAACGATGAGATGGGCGGGTACACGCACCTTTGAACCTCCTTGGTTGTCAGACTGCATCTGCATGCACTGACCCAGATACATGAGGGACTCGTTGATCTTGCCAGCTTCCGCAAGCGTCTCACCCGCGGTCTTAGCATTTCGGGCACGCTCTGAACCTGCCAGGTCGACGATGGTAAGGTTACTGCTGGACCATGGATCTTGGCGTTCTGCGTCTCTCTTCTTGATCTCAATGTGAAAAAAGCCATGACTCCGCGAGCTCACAGCATTGCTTCCAGTGCCAGTGACCTTGCGCTCCATGAGACCTGTTTCCAGCACCATCATAGCTTCCTCGAAGCTTCCGCATATGATCTTGGTGAGGCCAGCGACGACCTTTCGGTCTGGACTCTTCTCGGTGCTCTTGAAGAGGAGCGCCCTGCGCTTCACGTTTGGCTGTTTGTTCTTCAAGGCGTTTCCGCTCAACAGGTCGAAGATGCGGTCGTTGTAGACTTCGTACATTGACATGACGATTGCGTATTCTGCGCTCGGATCTGTAGGTATCTGGATATCGGCCACCGAGGGTGATTGTGGGAGTGTAGACGGACGTGGCATTTTGTTTGACTTGTATGTGCTTCCTGTGGAGAATATACTACAATCCTATCGTTTTGTTAGCACGCGTTCCTCAAGTTCTGCATTCTCCAGTATCAAATGGGGTTGGACTTACTGCCACGGGGGTTTGCGCTCGTGAATAGCGACCCGACTGGTTGTTGTCGCCATACATATTTTCGATGTATGCGGTCGCAGTGTACATTTGTGCTTCTGACACATCTGCATTTGCGAGCGAGGAGTACGCCGGGGCGCCATAGAGGGATTGTACGAGCTGCTCGTCGCATGCTTGGAAAATGACGTCCAGTGTCATCTGAACGAGGCCGCGCTGGGATTTGGTGCCAAGGATCGTGTGACTCTGTGAGCGCATTAACATGTGAGATACAGACTTGCAGGCTTCGTTCAAGAGATGCATACCTTTCCAGAGCCAGTGCAACCCAGCGTTGCAAGAAGTCCATCTCGGCCGTGGTGGCCTGGTGCGCCCATGACACCTTCAATCATGGGAACCACACCAGTGCCCTTGAACAAATCCATTTGCCGCGCATCTTCTTCGAAGACTTGCGTGAAAGCGAACCGTTCAACAGCGCGCTTGCGTTTATCTTGCGTAGGCGGTTGTATCGTTATATGAGTTGGATGATGGTTCTCGCTCTCTTCGACGCTGAGGAAGCGCGCACTTCCCGAGTTGGAAGGGCGCAGGCGCAGAAAGACATCGAACAGCGAACTCGAGGGTCGTGGTGGCGGCTCCATTGTGACTATGTTTTGTTTCTGGTTTGGCGATGCAGGCAAAATGTCAGTCGACGTTGGTGTACCAGATGCATGTGGAGCCGCTCGTGCACGCGCCCGTGTCGGTCAACATGGCCAGAACGCCGTTGCCCTGGACAACCGTCGCGTCGCTCATGGAACGCGGTGACGTAAGCCATGCGATCGCGCGGGGATGCGGAGTACAAAGAAGCTCGCCCTTTAGTCTCGACCTACTCTACTTTACAACCTACTAGCCGCCAACCTAAAATAGTGCAAATTCATTTCCTCCACTATGGACAACCTCCCAGCCGAAATACTTCTCTGCATCGCCGAGTGTAGCACCACCCTGCCAGAATTGCTCAAGTACAGACGCATCTCGCGCCGTTTCAAGCAAGTTGTCGACGACAACTGCAAACCTCATGCTTTCTACCTGCTGCACCAGAGACCCTGTCCAGTAGCAGTTGACGATGCACTGCTTGCTATCCGCTTGAAGCGTATACCCTGGGAATCATGCTGCCATTACGACCACGTACGGGGCGACTATTCTTTCTACCCTTCAAAAGACTTCTTCGAGGCTGTTCAGAATGAGACTGAAGTGCCGCCAGGCTGTCCCTCAATCCCAGCCGCAACTTGGTTTCAAGAGGTGGAGGCTGTCATGGACCTGTACCTGTTGGTATTGGCCTATATGTCTACCGGCAAGCATTGTCATTTGAACTTTCAACAGACCTACCCTGGCGGCTATGATCTTGACCAAATTGACTCGCCCGACGAATGGCCAAAGCCCCAGACAGAAGCCATAATCCGGTCACACTTCCGTCTGTTTGTCTTCACAACTGTATACGCACCACGTGTTTTTGTTGAGCCTCTTGCCAACATTTCAGCTATAATAAACAACACTTCGACACCGAAATGGTCTACTACGCATCAACACTGGATATCTTTATCAATGCAAGGAACGGCGAAATACCCTGTGTTTGAGATGTTTGGACTGCCCTTGGAGGAAAGAACTACAGACCCACTCTTTGATGGCTTTTTTGAGTGGCTGTACGCCCAGTCTGAACCCCGCGAATTCCTCGTGCTCCCTGATGGCTTCCAAGATCCAGCCGGGGACCACCCAAACGACCGCTTAGTAAGGACTTTTCCAGGAGAAGAACGTCACCAGGTTGCCCTCATGCAGCTGTGGAAAGTACACAAGATAATGGATGATCGAAATTGCGATAACAAACCAGCACGTGGGTATCATATTGCGTCCCAATTCAACCCGATCCAGCCTGGTCTCACTGATCAAGCTACCGTCTATCGCCAACCCCTTCAAATTTCGATTTGGTCTGAACCCCAACTCATCATCAACAATTGGACAGAAGGTGACGATTTCTCATTGGTTTTAGAGGTACCTAAGGGGACGCGTAACGATCACATCAACAGATTCGTTCAACTGGAGATGGGTTGTTCGGGAGAATACAATTCCTTTGACAGGATATTTGGGACTGAACTCAAGAACAGATTTGGCTTGGAATACATTCCTCAAAAGGCTTCGTTTCTAGATATTGACTATGGCGTGTTGGACCCAAGACCTGAGTTGAAGGAATGGGTATAGGTTATGCAACGACACCTTCACTGCGTAAATTCGCCACTTCCTCCTTACTCATCCCCAATGTATCACCGAGTATCTCGTCCGTATGCTGGCCTAGTGTGGGTGGAGGTAGTCGTATGCCTGGAGTTGAGTCTGACCATTTCACGGGCGTGTTGACTAGTTTAATCGGTCCACATGCCGGGTGCTCTATCTCTTTGACCATGTCTCTTGCGAGGACTACTCCAGATTAGCATCGATAAGAAACACTTATTCCAGCAGGAATAATATACATACCGTGTTCGTGGTTCAATGTATCCTGCACATCGTTGATAGCGGCGTACGCTGGAATCGTTAGCTAAGAACCCCAAGGCATACAGCTGTTACTTACGCATTCCACTTCCCTCGAGCACGTCGAGCAATTCCTGTGTAGTCTTCTTCTTCGTCTCCGTCTCAATCAAATCCTCTAGCTCGTCCCTATGCTGCACCCTCAACGCGTTCGTTTTGAACCTCTCATCGAGAATCCATTCGGGCCTTTCCAACCTGTTGCACAAAACTCCATACAACCTATCGTTTCCACCTCCCAGTAAGATATCTCCATCCGCCGTCTTGAACGCCTTGTACGGTACAATCGATGGATGCGAAGTTCCCCAGCGTCCAGTGTCACGTTTTCCGCTAATGAGAGTGGAGCTGGCAATATTCGCCAGAGTGGCGACTTGGCAGTCTGAAAGCGCGACGTCGATGTGTTGGCCTTTGGATTTGGGGTTTCTGAGGCGCCGGAAGAGAGCTGCCATGATGGAGTTGGAGGTGTAGAGACCGGTTGTCAGATCGGTTACTGCTACACCGACCTTGACGGGTGGGCCATCGCGGGTTCCGGTGATGTGCATTAGGCCAAATTCGCTGGTTTGTATTAGCATTGACATGGTGTTAGAAAGATGAGTGGGGGGATGTACGCTTCAACCATGACGTCGTAACCTGCTCTGTTTCTGTAGGGGCCTGTCTGGCCGTAACCTGTGATACTGGCGTAGATGATACCGGGGTTGATCTTTGACACGGTGTCATAGTCCATGGCGTACTTTGCTAGAGATCCTGGAAGATAGTTCTCGACAAGAACATCACATTCTTTGACTAGGCGATGCAAGATGTCTACACCAGCTGGGTGCTGGAAAGACAGGCCTATCGATCGTTTGTTGCGGTTGACCTACTCTTAGTCAGCTTCAGATAGCCATGAAAACGAAGTCGTACTGACACCCAAGTAGTAAGCACTCTCTCCCGGACCTTCTTGGTTGTCGTTATACTTCGCGTAAGGTGGTCCCCATGCTCGTGTGTCGTCTAGGCAAATTAGTTGGGTCAGAAAGCAGGATGAAATACCTCTCTACTCACCTCCTCTTGTTGGATGTTCAATCTTGATCACGTCTGCTCTAACAAAATGTCAATTCCTGAGTCTTTAATCTCGCCAACCTCGGTTGGGTCGTACAGGGTCATCCATCGCATACCCAAGATCACCCAAAATTTGCGTGCAATATGGCTACTAGAAGTCAGTCGAGTTTCTCGCGAGTTCATGAATCATGACTCACTCCAGCAAGTACTCTTGTCATATCAAGCACTTTAATGCCGGCTAGAGGCAGGTTGTTCGCATCTGCATTCGATGCCTCAGTTGCTAGCCGTCGAACATGGCTGGGTCGTGCCCAATTGGACCGTGAACATGTCACCGTCGCCTGGAAAGCGCGTCTCGAGCTTCTCAGCAACATGTTTGCCATTTCGATGTGGTGTATGTAGAATCACGATATGTGCCGGGTAACGGAATGCTTCCACGGCATACCTATTCCCGACGATGGGCTAGCTCCAGTTCGGTGATCCGAGGCTCATCGTTAGCTGCAGAACCCCACCAAGTTTCTCTCTCCAATTACCCACCCCACCATGTTTACTGGTCTCGTTGAAACCATTGGCAGTAAGCTACCATGCATTGTCTTTTCTGCGCGGCTCGGCTGACGATGGCTAGCTGTTGCCGCCCTTGAGAAGCTCGACCAGACGGCCTCGGGAGGCGGCGGCACATCGTTGACCATCTCCGGATGTGAGGACATACTGGGTGACGCCCATCTGGGCGACAGTATCAGCGTCAATGGTACGTTGGCACTACTATACTTCATCTCGTGGTCTAATCCAACCAGGCACCTGTCTCACCGTCACGGAATTCACCAAGTCATCGTTCAAGATCGGATGCGCTCCCGAAACCCTCCGACGGACAAACTTGGGGTCGCTGAAGGAGGGCTCCAATGTCAACCTAGAGCGCGCGGTCTCTGCCAACACACGCATGGGCGGTCACTTCGTGCAAGGACATGTCGACACCATCGCCACCATCGAGTCGGTAACGCCGGACGGCAACGCGCTTACCTTCCGCTTCAAGCCTCGCGATACCTCGGTCCTGCGATACATTGTCGAAAAGGGTTACGTCACGATAGACGGTGCTAGCTTGACGGTTACAAAGGTGCAGGATGGTCCTGAGGGTTGGTGGGAGGTCATGTTGATTGCCTACACGCAAGAGAAAGTCGTCACGGCAAGCAAGAAGCCGGGCGAGGACGTCAATGTCGAGGTGGACCAGGTTGGTAAGTATGTTGAGAAGAGCGTAGCTGGATACTTCGAAGGGTCATCGAATGGAGAATTCGCGATACTGGAGAAGATGGTTTCGAAGCTGGTGGACGAGAGGCTGAAGGCACTTGGAAAGTGATGGACATATGCTGGACCATCAGCTGCTACGCGTATGGGCGCGTAGGCTCTCGTTGCCAAGATCGAGGGTTTGCCGTCAATGCCGCAGAAGTCATGGCCCCACATTAGTAACCAACCAAAACAAATCATTCAACTTCAGTTATATGGTTGCCTCGAAAGGGGCTCATGGGTGAGACTTGCAGCCCCATTGCGGTGGTGGCTTGGATAGAGTGAGGCGCAGCCTTGGTCTCGTCCAATACATATATATCTACATGTCTATCCCATCATTTCACAAGACACTTCCTACCATTCCACACCTACACATTAAAGGGCGAGCAGATTGATATTCATGATCTGAGGCTCGTCGTTGCAATGCTTGGTTCGAGTGTGGCGGCTCTCACATCGATCCCCTCATGGTTGACAGTTGTCAAGAGGCATATCATCGCACAATCCGGAGTGGCGGCGTCGAAGGTCTCCTCAACCGTTGAACAATCATTGCTTACATTGCAGGACTAGTCCATGCTATAGTGGAGAGAGTTAGGCAGAACACCATGCCGCGGCGCCGACATGCAGACCAACGATGTCATTAGGCCGAAAGCTCTGGACATTTTGATACTTTTTGTGCTGCGAGCCGGTACGATAGGAATGATCTTCCACTGACAGCGCAGACGTGCAGCTATCGGGGTGGCGTCTCCGCCTGTCCAGAACAGCATCTTGCCCAGCGGTGCAG